AGAATAATAAATAGACAGTTTGACTGCACGGAGGATTTCATCATGAGGTGATATCAGTTAGAGAAACACTGGAAAACCTGTGAGTACTGGGCAGCTATTTCGTAACAGCAGTAACTCATCGAATAAGACATTGCGGAATGGTCGCGCTATGTCATGAATTGGAAGAAGTTAGAACTCAAGGACCATTGGATCGGGTCCCAGTGGCTCAGCGGTCTACGAGCTGGCTCACCTTGTAACCAGAAGGTCTTGGTTTCGGCCCCCGGTGGATGCGCACTGCCGAAGGGTCCTAAACTGGGAAGAAACAGCTGTTCACTACTCCCAGGTGGTTTCCCAGTGGTTCTCTAACCAAGCTCATGATGAAATCCTCCATGCAATCAAACAAAATCCCTACAGAACCAGTACTTGAAAATAGACAGTTGTTTAAAAACTAGTTTTTAATGCTGTATCACAGATTCCTGAATAAATTCTTCGAAACAGAGTAACGCATGAGGATAAAAGCAATCACAAGGTATTTTTTCACACAGTGGCAAATATACCAACTGTATAAGAAAAGGAATCGATAAGGCCGAATGCGACATCTGATATAACTACAGTCTTTCTGTAAGATCAACTAACTAAGGAAATTCAAATCGTAAGTGGCTGCCTTTGTTCTACCCATTCAAGTAGACGGATACGAAAGGGAGTTAAATTTGTTTTTGTCATCAGTCATATACTTATCACTAGTGACTTGCTAAAGGACTGTGTTTCCTGCAGTTCTAGTAAGAGGCCATGACCTGTTATTTCCAACCAGTCAAGTGTGAGGATGAATTACCCACCGATGACATTGGTTGGTGGTCGTGCTAAATCACGAATTGGTCGAAGTTAGAATTCATAGACTGGCCATTGAATCGGTTCCCAGTGGCTGAATGGTATACGAGCTCGCTAGCCTTGTAACTCAAAGGTTTTGAGTTCGAACCCTGTTGGGAGGTGCGTACTGGCGATGATTTCCAAACTAGGATGGGGGGGGAGGTTAACAGCTGTGCAGTACTCCTTGTTGGTTTTCAATGCTTCTCTAACTGATATCAATTCATGATCAACTCGTAAAAACAAATCTAATCCTTATAAATCAACTATTGAAAGTAACTATGTTTATTTAATATTTTGCATTTCTACAAAACCTTGTTATTTACTTTCTACATTCACCATCCTCAACATCCTCATCATTACACTGATTTATTTGCTTCATTTTTTGGTGCCTTGTAGGAAATAAATAATTTGTACAATATACACCAATTTCCTAACACGCACACACACATATATACATCAATGTATTCTTTGAATGACTATGCTAAGTAGTATATTAAGGGTTAAAAGAAAATAATCAATGCAAAAATAGTCATCCTTATGTTTATCATCACCATAATCATCGTCATCATGGTCATCATCGTTGTTATGACACGGCAGCAACAAGTGATTTCTTCCTTGTTTGTTTATCTTTCCATCCTTTCACCTTCAGATGCGTCACATACTCATTCCTATAAGCATATACAGAGACATTGTTTATATTTACCAAATATATATATATATTGTTAACAGGATAAATATTATGATAAATAGACGTATATGTAAATATATGCGCTTAGATACTCTCGTAAAGGAAGACGAAAAGAAATTTATGAGGTCTTCCTTTTTCTAGGTTTATATTTCACTGTCAGAATTGATAGCTACCTAGATCTCATATTTTTCATAAAATAGAAGGGATCATATACATATATACTTATATTCATGTGTAACTTCCGGTTGACACTCTGGAATGTAATAATACCTGAGTTTATTTGGCAGGTGTCATTGACAGATTATAATAATATGCCTATCATATTTCACTGTTAAGCTCCCCTTATTTTACTGGTATGATTAAAAGAATGTGTATTTAAGAGAATCACAGGGTGAGTGAGTTCCCTTAGTTGTGTGAGACCTGTTCATTTGATTTTTCTTTTCTTTAATTTTTTTTCACTACATCACTATGGTTGTTAGTATTGTTGTTCTTGTTGTGAGTTAAAAATTAGCATGTCTTTGTTAAATTTCACTTTTCAAATAGTTCTTTTTTTGAATTTAAGTTTTTGTTAGTTTCTAAGTTTGGTCAGTTAGCGATTAATCTTCAAATCAATCAAATAATCCTTGCAAATCAAACACTTGAAAATTAATCTAGGGCTCACTGATGACTGATTACAAGACGAAGTTTTAACAGGAGAGGACAAGAGACTTAGTAATGAACTTCTTTTATTAAGGAAAGAAAAACATATCATATTTATACGCTTTTAGCCACATTTAAAGTCGACTAAGTCAGTGGATAATAAACTGTTCTGATTGGTTATTCATTTTCCAAAGGTTAAACCTTAGGGCGAAAAGTTGTCCAATTAGATTTTCTGATCACAATGTACACTAAATCCAGATTTGAGGAGTAAACACTTTTACTTCTGTAGCAATCGACTTAAAACGTTGTGTTTAATTTTACCTTCTATGTACTACTGATAAATCTTGTCAGTAGCACATGCTACATGGTTGCTTAAAATTTTGAGTGAGAAGTTGTGACCAACTAGGATACGTACTCATTGGTGACACTGACTTGTGGTTGCGCTATATAACGCGAATCAAATGAAGTTGGAACTCATAGACCATTGAATTCCTCCCCATGGCAGAGTGATCAACAAGCCCACCTTGTAACCTGGAGGTCCTGGGTTCGATCCCTGGTGGAGACCCACCGAGGTTCGACCGAAGACCTTCCAGTTACGAAGTCATTGGGTTGGATACCAGTGGCTGAATGGTCTAGATGGTCCTGGATTCGAACCTTGGTAGGTGCGTGCTGGTGAAGAGTCTCGAGATGAGAAGAAATATCTTTGCAGTACTCCCTGGTTTTCCATTGGTTTTCTAACTGGTTAGGATTCTCGCCAACCTTGCACATGGTCCAAGGTTCGATCCCCTACCGACGCACACCTGATATCTATGGTCGGCCTGCAAAATTTGGGCTACCGATATCACATGCTGAAAATCCCATACTTGTACCAAAAATACAGTGTGGAATCAAGCTGTAATCGAAAATAAAGTAAAAATCAGCTCATGATAAAATCCTGTAACCAATGGAATCCCTACAATACAAAACTGTATAATTTACTTTAGTTACTGCTTTTACCGTGGCTTTCATGTGCGGAGATTTTTACTGAATTTCTACGAAAATACGAGCCTTGTTTGCAGTGCAGTTGTTGTTGTATATGAAGCTTTCTATCCGGCTTTGTTTATATTTGTATACTACAGGAGTTATTAAGTAGTTTAAGTTTCAGCGGATAAAGTTAGAAAACTTTTGCATTCTCTTTCAAAAATACGGGTTGTTTATCAAACATTTATTAATAAGACTAAACCTAATAGCTTCTATGTAACTTATACCCGCATTTATTGCTTAATTTATTAATATCATGTAACTGATGCATAGTTATTCACCAGTTTTTTATCTCTTTGATATGATATGCACATTAATGAGTAAAAATAATGCGTTCAGTTTTGCATAATTCAAACTGCAATAATTACATTTTATCATGAGTTTTAACGCTTTTGATTACTATAAAGTGGTTAGAGGTGGTATGCAGGATGCGTCCTTGCCGGCACCTATCAATCAAGTCTACACATAGTCTCATGGCAAGTGAAGACCATTTAAGAGAGGAGAAACTAGATCAACCGCTGTTTCCACTCCAGGCAACAGATCTTCTCTATCGACGGCCAGGATACACCTAGCTAACCAGTGACGACAAGCATGGTATAAAGGTGAAGCGAATCTTCCTGCCTCTTGCTGTCTTATGTTAATAAAAGGACAATCCACTAACTAGTATCTAAGCTGTATAGGCACAGTTCATATTCGGTCAGCAGCATTCAGTCATCACCCAGGATACGACTGCATAACAAAGGTTACTTTTCAATTATAATCTCAGCTTTGATGTTCATGAATGCTACCCTTAGAGATTGACAACTACATCTCTTGTGGTTTAAGAAATTCGCTAATTAGATGATCAAAAAACTGAAAACGTCTTTCTAAATGTAGGTTTAACAGAAAGTAAATAACCCAGTTTTTAAAAATCTTGATTGGGCATTAATAACTCGTTGGCTCTCAAAGGTACTACGGACAAGGACTTCAAAGGCAGGCAGGATCGGGAGAGGTAGACAAGTGTTTACCACTTCGAATTCGGCGTTTATAACAAAGAACAAGATCAAACTTTTCAATACTAATGTTGAATCAGTCATGGCTTCCATATGATTCAGAGGTTTGTTGCAGCCAACACCAAAAACACTTCCGACAGGCTTCAGATATTCGTCAATAGCTGCCCTCTTCTCTTGATAGTAAATAAGGAACAAGGAACTGTAGAGAAGAACTGGTAAAGAATTTATTAATTAATAAAAATGCAAATGGAATGTATACACTCTGAAGAAAAAAGCAAATGACATTACGTTCTAGGCTGGCCGTCGAGTGGACCCCGAAGGAAGCGACTAGTCAGGCGTTGGAGGATAGTGTGGAGGAGATCAAGACTGCGAAGGAAGATATGAAACCATTTGCAAGTGACTGCACATAACACTCCAAACATCCTCCAGAAGTTCTATGCCCCCCTCAGAACGCAAAGAACCGAACAATAGTAAATAAAAGATTTCACAACCTATGTAAATAAGTCAAAGAAAATGTTTTTTAATGTTTCTCGTAAAGTTTGCACACAGAAACCTAGTGATATCTTTTTTGTTAGAGTCGGACTAGAGTCGACGCTCGACTTAAAAAGTCGTTAGCAAGCTTTTTGAGCCACCGACGTATATGATCAAATCCAGCAGATCCTAAGTACGTTCACCAGTTCATCTGCTATTAAAACGTACGGTATAATCTTTCTCAAAGAATTTGAATTAGAGCGAGAAAGGCTTAAATGTATTTTACTCTTAAAAATGACCTCGTATTCACGTCTTCTTCCTCTTTTTTATTTTTGTTTATTTAGCTCCAGAAATTATCAACTATGATCCGATCACATTTGCTACAGATATGTGGTGAGTTATGTTTTAAAAATGCATTCACTACATCTTTTTTCGAGTTAGGCCATTGATTAATATCATTTAGAGAACCATTGAAAACCAGCAAGGAGTGCTGAACAGTTGTTCCCCCCCCATCCTAGTTTGAGAATCATCGCCAGTGCGCACTCACCGACAGGGTTCAGATCCAGGACCTTCTGGTTACAGAGCTAGCGAGCTTGTATAATATTCAGCCGCTGGGAACCGTTTCAATGGCCCACCAGCTCTTGAAAATTCACTGTATCGACAAGAAATAATAATTTAGCCTGAAATTGTATTTCTGCCGAGCTATTTTAACCATAATTTTACTTCCATCGACAATGTTGTGTTTACTTTTGTGATTGAGTGGTCAGTTTGAGTATGTAATACCTAGTTGATAAGTACAGGAAATTCATGATATTCAATATCCTTTTAAAAATACTTTTCGCCCGGTTGTTATAAGTTACACTTTTAGGACAATCACTCATGGATCAGCCATTACCCGCATGACAAAACGTTCGTGTAGACATGTAAAAGATTGAATTGTGCAAAGGTTTTTAGTTTTTACTAATTCGCATCTAACTGAGATCTTTTACAAGTTCCTTAAGGTCATAACCTTGAAATAGATTACATATCGTGGCAAATAAATCATTCGCTTCTTATTCACTTATAAACTCAATATAACTGCATTACAACTGGTTGTGTTTATGAATGAGACGCATTGATCAATACTTCAGTTGGGTAACTTTAAAAAAGAAACAATTATACACCTTCTTATGTAGATGGACGTGTCTGAAAATTGTTAAGGTTCAAGAAAGGGTTGTAATTCTGGACTTAAGTAAGTGTTCTTCAGAATTATTTTATTATTTCATACTGACTGAAGTTTTGAGGTCATTGTTACACCACTTCTCATCAAAACGAAGTATACATATGAAATTAATGTTTAATTTACTCATGATGTACTTTGTTTGGACACTAATAACTAATTAGTGTGGTGTTTCTAGTTCTTTCTTCGGTGCAGACTGAATTCTCTCAGTCAGGTTTATAATGTGGCCACCATGTCACAAGGTGACCCGCTATTACAGCGCACATTGATCTGATGATATTAGATGGTTGGAGGCAATCGACAGGAAGCCTTACTTGAACTAGGTTTCGTGCTAGTTGGCACTCACCAGTCAGTAAGGCGTATCTGCAACCTCAAAGGAACTCATATCACCATCTTCTGAGATTCGAACCCATGTCACCCACTGTTGCAGTCAGAGAAGTTTTAACTGAGCTGTTCGCGTTCCCGATTGACCCCCTGTAGGTCTGAGGCTTCGTTCCGATTGTCTCCAGCAATCTAATATCAACCATTCACGGTGCAACATAGCGACCACAATGCGAAATGACAGATAGAATTCAGTTTGCACTAAACAAAGGACTAGATACATTACACTAGTTGCTAAATATTATTCAACCAAAGTATCCAATGCTGTCTGTCCTACAAGAGGTCAACCGCGAACCCGAATAGCTCAGTGGTAACGTCTCTGACTACAGCACCACTGAGTGACCCAGGTTCAAATCTTAGAAGCGTGGGATATGAATTACTTTGAGGTTACAGATACGCCTCACTAGCTGGTAGTGTCAACTAGCACTAAACCTATTTCAAGCACGGCTTCCTGCCGATTTCCTCCAACCATCTAATATTACTCATGGCGCATCTTACAACATCCAATACCCTACCTTTCTGTTGTTCACTATGTAACTTTTCTTATGGACCTATTTTTTTCTAGTGGATTAGATTTTCTAATTAAAAATTCAGTTTAACAATTCTTTCCATTGTCAATCGAAATAAATCATGAATTACAAATAATATATATGGTAGTATAATATGAGCCAATGTTTTATTTGTAATTTTACAAATTCTCAATAGTTGTCATAGTGATGACTATAGTTTACACTTTGTTGCGTCATCCAACCTTGTCTTATTTCTGGTTCTAGCTAAAATAATAAATTCGATGTTATCTGAGCTTCGTTTATCTTACTTTTAGTATACTTGTAGTTTTGTGAGTTCTTTTCGCTAAAATACTGTGTGTAACTAAAGATTGTTTTGTGCACATTTTGAGACCTGCTCATTTTATCATTTTATTTCAAGAGTATCGACCTAATAATTCCTAACTTTTAACCACTCTCATTGTTCTGACTTATGCCGCCCTCCCACACCGTATTATTTGGTCGATGGTGGCTAACGGTAGAAATCAAGGTGTACATTTCATTCTGTTTACTGCTCATCAGTTGAATGTGTACGTGTCTCCACTAAGACTAGAAACTAGTGCCAATCATTTCGAACTCCAGAGGATTTCGACTCCATATTAGTCGATTAATGGGCAGAAAATACGGGACCAATTAGACAAAAATGTATTCTATGCTTTCGCTTTCATGATTACTTATCAACCTGATAAAAGTATTATCAAGCAGTACTTACTCAGGACTTTCTGATTACTAGGCGAGCTTGCTGATCTCTCAACCACACGGATGGTTTGTAATGGCCCATGAATTCTAACTTCTGCTAATTCACAATATATGTTGCTCGACTGGCAGCCATTGTCATCGGCGAACATTTGTCCTTATACCTAGCTTGAAAAGTACTCACCAGTCCTTCGGCTCAGATGTATTCAGTCTCTGTAATCTTTCATATTCCTTTTTACCATTACCCATTCTGTTTCACTCTTATACTTATCAAACTCTATTAATTCTCTCCACTCATCTTCTTGTCTACCTTTGTGTGCTATTTGGAAAGTGGCAACTCGAACTGTTGCACTTTGGTGCCAAGTTCTCTATTGAATCCAGACAGACAGACAGTTCTTCGGTTTCAGTATAGTTTAGGCTATAAACAGTAGAAAATAATTAGCAAAATAATAACATAATAAAGTGATTGAGTCCATATTATCCCTTATCAAGCAATCAATAGGTAAACTCAATTTTTTAATCATTTCCCAATTATTCAAAGTAAGTATTTAAATAACTGTACTAAAACTCAAGGAGGTGAGGTTGTATCCTAAAAGAAAAGACAATTTAGAGGGGAATTTGTCTGACCTTTTCTTGAATAATACTTCATTGATTATAGGACTCATGATAGACTTAAGAATCTGAGAAGTTTAAACCTAGCAGCCTAAATATTACTTCATTTTATCATCAGTGATTCAATGAATAAATACCTACTGATTTTATTTGATTTAGTTGGAGGATTTCATCATTAGGCTGACATCAGTTAGAAAACTATTGGAAAGCCTGCAGGAAGTACTGGACAGCCGTTTCGTCCCGGTTTGGGACTGAATCTTCATCAGTTAGAACACAGTTACTCTCAACAAATTTTACTTCTATTTGGTAATCAGCCACATTTATTTTTTGGTAGGCTGATAGTATTGGCCACTTTCTCAGGCTGCAATGAGATTTCAACCCGGAGCCAATTTACTGGAATCCTAGTGCTTAAGTTGATGAGCTACACTTTGAGGTCACTTCATTTGGAGAATAACTTTTCTGTTTATACGTTATTTTGTGGAAATTTCACCATATGGACTTATGTTTTTTGTACATTTATGATACATTTTCAAGAGTTAGTTTGTAAAGATTAGATTTGCTTTTTACGAGTTTGACTACTGATTGATATCAGTTAGAGAAGCATTGAAACCACCACCAGGGAGCACTGGACAGCTGTTCCCTACCCCCATCCTAGTTTGGGAATCATCGGCAGTATGCACCCCCCTCCAACAGGGTTCGAACACAGGACTTCCCAGTCACAAGGCAAGCTAGCTCGTATACCATTTAGCCACTGGGACCCGATCCAATGGTCCATGATATAACTAACAGAATATTCTGCACATTTTCAAAATGGTGAAAGTAGTTAGAGCAATCAAATCAGTTCATTTAAATTCATACATTCTATTTTTGTATGTTTTTTCCTTCTTTTAGTTGTATTATTTGTCATGATATAACCTAATTCGAGTGATATAAGTTTAAATTAACTAAAAGTATTGCCTTTACTGGCGTGCTAAAGTGATGTTAGTTGCTTAGTGAAAAAAAAAACTTGTCTTAAATTCGATGAAATTCCTACAATACCCTAAAAATTTAAATTTGTAATAGTGACCTCAAACAAAAGTGAACAGAGGAAATCATTTTTATCAGTAAGGTGATTTTAGCTCTCATTTTTAAAACTATTTAACTTTATCATTATTTAATGTATATTTCAAAGGTTTTTTATTTAAGAGGTTAGATAGTGAAATATTTTTTTAGCTTTCTGTATTTATTTCTAATGTTCAGTGAGTTCTGTAACTGTGAAATATTTGAAATCTGCCAATTTTCCACTGTTATGTGTAGGTGTATTACAGCCTGCATAATAAGTACTAACGTTGATCATATATGTGCATGTGCAATTTTCTTTTCCTTCACGTCCCCCAGTGGAACATATGGCTTCAAGCTAGTGGCTTGAAGTTTCTGTAGGAGTGTTTATTTTATAGGATGGGGTTGCTAGCCTCATACCCAACCTTTCCTCTTTACCAGCATTATTTCTGGCTTAGCGAGCTAAAGGGGTACGTCTGGGGCCGGCGATCGGACCGCGGATCATGTGCATGATTGGCGAGCGTCCTAACCACTATACCACCGACGCACAAGAATATGCCATTAGAAGTGATGAAACAATGTATGACTTAATGGTGAAAAGCACCAACGAATAAATATGTGCGACACTGTATTCAGTAGCTACTGAGCTTGATAGTTGAACTACGCTTGACATTATTATTATTACTCCCTTAAGTTCCGAGTGAAATATACGGCTTCAACAACACGTCTCCACCGTCGTCTATTTTCTGCTATCCTCTTCAGCTGGTTAGCCACACGATTGCTCATAATCTGTCATATTCTACTCCGACTCTCACGATCTCCTCAATGTCACCCTCGCGCCGACCACCCACTAGTCGATTTTCACTAGGGTTCCACTTTGGCGATTGTCTGCATTGAGTGCG